AAAACGCTACGTCCAGATGAACAGAATCAACTTTTGGAGATTTATGGACAGACTTAGATTTGAGGAACAATGACATATTACATTACTTATTTAGACCACAATAACAAATCATTTCTGTAAAGTGTTCAGATATAAATGAGTGAAATAACATTTAAACCTGATCTAAGCTGATCAATTTTCCTCTCTGGTTTCCTCATCATTATTTTCCATATCATAATATAAACATGTGCTAACACTCAATAATAAAACGTGCTCAGGTGAAACAATCCAAATGAACACACTGTGTGTTTTGTTAAATGAATCATCAGGAATCATAGTCTGGATGTGGTCGTTATTTTCTTCTCTAGGATGTTCTTCACAGTGGGAATTAAAAGGTTCTCAGGGAGCTAATGATGAGCGTGTTTGTTGCAGCTTCATATCATCATTTTAGACAATACATCTTTTTTTTCAGTAAAAATAAAAAAAAGAACTACCATTGAAAACTTAGTGCAACTTCTCTTTGCATGTTTTTGTGCCCCCACATCTGATAAAGAAAACAGTTACATATACATATATGATTTTATCCTTTCCATTTAAAGATGGAAAACGTGCACTGGAACACTGCAGTACCAGTTTAGCTCTAATGAGTATGCTGGCAAGCTTACTGTGTGACATATTCAGGTAAGAAACTTTAACCAAAGAGGAAGACTCAGCATTAGTCTAATAAGGTGGTGTTCACAGCTTTAACTTTAACCATCAAACACACTCACTAGTACAACACTGAGAGCCAAAAACCTGACGAAAAATCAAAAGATCATGTTTCAAAGTGCCACAGATTAATTCAAAAGGTGAACTTTGTCACTATCACATCACCTTAGTGCCAGTTTAAAGTCTTGAAACTGACCATTTTATGGGTCCCCATCTTAGCTTTCTGTAGGCAAACATAAAAAATGTGATGATATGACTATAAAACCGAGGAATACACCGATATGGTCCCACAGTCAAGCGTACCCTAATGCACATGTGGATGCAGCCACAGGAGTCCCCTGCTGGTCATTACAAAGAATTGAGGCTAAATGTCTCACTTTTCCCCACATATAGATCTGGAGACATTTATCTTAAACTTTGTAGATCTCCAGTAAACAACTTCCTGTTTCGACCCGTGTACACTGAAACAGAACCGTGTCCATAATGTTTCTGT